ACAACACAACGCCTGCAACGCACTTGTGGTGCGTGACAGCAACGGAGTGTCGGGCGGTTGCTACGGTGGGCTTTTGTGCTCGTTGGGATGTTGGTGGTGGCAGTGGTGAGCATTGACGCGTTGGTCTGCGTTTTGTGCTCCTTCCTCCACTTCTACGCCCTGTGTGTGTGCGTGTGCGTGCGGGTGGCCAGTTGTTTGTGCCTGCGGCCTGTGCAATGAGGGTAAAATCAACGAGATTAGCTTAGTCAGGTAAAAGTAAGCGAGGCCAGAGGAAAAGTAGCCACGAGCAAAGCTCTACTTCAAATGTAATAAAGGCGAAATTCAATCAGTTTTTTCTAGTCAAGTCAAAGTAATAAGAGGACAGTTTAAACTCCTCCCAGAGAAATAGTCTTGGTAAAACAGTATGTCTGTAGATAGTACTAAATTAAGCAGAAGTAATTGTCCAAGTCAAATGCAATCTGGAGGCACTTTAATGAGACTAGCTTAGTCAAGTCAATATTACCGAAAACAGGTCAAAAATATTCAATAGGTCAAATGATATTCGGAGGCAAATTAAGGAGTTCATACTAGTCAGATTAATATTACGGTAGAGGGATTTAAAATTATTTGCAAGAAATTCACTACGCCAAATAGAATGAGGAGGCAAATCAGTTAGTTAAGCTGGGTCCGATATATGCCACCAAGGGAAAATCTGAAATGTACGCGAGACATGCTCTAGTTGAGAAAAATAGCGGCAAAAATGCATTCAAGATGGTGAAGAACAAAGATTACAGCAGACGTATGTAAATTGAACGCGAGATATAAGCGAGGTCGAATAAATGAGGATGAAGAACCTTTAAGCATGAAAAGTAAATACCACAGTCGAATTGAATAAATTCCACTCTAGATATAAACTGGATCAAAGGAAATTCAGTGAGAGAAATGCCCAAGGGTAGCAGAGATATCCATCAAACAGAACGAAATCCAGAAGAAAAGAATTGAGCCAAGGATAATAAAGTCAGTATTGAAGACAGATATACATAACGCACCAGAGATGTTCACCAGATCGAATAAATTTCCGAAGCAAATCATTGGGCTTAGATAAGTTAAACCATATTTCAGAAACAGATACAAAATGCACATGAGAAAATTTCATATCAAATAGATTTCAGAGGCAATTTACCTAATAAGGCGGTTAAAGTGTATGCCAAACAAATGAACTTACTTTTAGGTGAAGTAAAAGCAAACTACTTCGACTCCGCCCAGTCCATTGCAGTCTGTTTCGGAGTGAAGTACTACCTGTACAATCATACTCTTACGTTCTGGACTTGCAAGGAATGCCACCACAATATTTTGTAATTAAAGTGACAAGGCTAAATTTAGTCTTAAATTTGTCGTGGGATTTGCAGTTCGGGTACAATACAAATCAACCGTGGTCGAAGCGATTCGCTAGTGGTTCCAAATATCTCATGGGCTGATTCAACAAAGCCACCAGCGGTGGTAGGGCAGGTATAAGGAGCCAGTTTTGCGGCTTTGATGGCTGGTAAATGGGAGTGGTAGATATCCCTGTGGTGTTGCAGGGAATGGTATCCACGCACGAACCACAAAGTCATTCGAGCTGCGTTGGAGAGTGTTCGACTTCTACTTCCTACAATTATACCCAGAAAAAAGCAATTAGAAGCCCCACGAACCCTTTGACAATCCATCTCAGGGTTATTTTGCACATCACACCAGCATCTACAGGGTCAAATATAGAGAATCTTTTTTAAGATTGTACACATCCCCCAAACCAGGTGGCAAAATGCACAAGGCACTGGTTGAAATAGTCCCGGCAAAGCAACTAAAAAGGTTCAAGTATAAGGGCTTGAAATTTTCCTAGACCGCAATGAATCTCAACCACCGGAATACATAGCTTGTTGAGACGAATGAATCTTGTCTTGGGCAAGTGTTTCCGAAAAAAAAACACTCGAAATCAATGCGCAGCCGATGAAGGACAGACATGCAGCCCAATACTATTTGGTTCTGAAGCCCTTTAAGTATGTTAGATAAGCAACGGTGACATCTGACGCAGATAAATCATTGCTAAAAACATGACTACGATTATGCAGTAGACTGAGGTATTACTTATGCTCTCGTATTAAGTGGACCTTCCTAATTTCTTTTAAGTCAATTTTTGCTACAATGAAGTAGGCCTCCACTCATGCCATTCAGGCCTGTAGCTTACCAAAATCTCTATCCGTTGCAGTCAAATCGGAACTTTCTACTAACCGTCTTTCCACTGCGTACAACAATGGGATCACACATACCGAATCGGCCCAGAATTCTTAATTAGGTTTGTTGAGGGCAGAGAAGGCGAAAAACCGCAGCTCGATGATACATACTCAGGCAATAAGTAGTACAGTGATAAAGTGCTGCGCACTTCAGTGGGTTACAAAACACCCTTATAACCGTAAAGGCTGATACCTACAGCAGTGGCTTCTAGCCCACCCCCATAGTAGAGCTTCCACCTCAGCGAGTGAACTGCCTTGTTCTTGGCTTCCGACCAATGCGTAACTCCTATAAAATTGGTCTCAAAACTTATCAAATTGCTTGCAAATAGGTGTCTACATTACGCCAATTGTGGTGACCCTCTTTAAGCTCGTACACTTTCATGTACTAGAGAGTACCTCCGAATTCCTGGTTCTTACAACTGAAATGTTCCACTCACCGATACCACAGTTGGCAATACCTCATCCAAAGCGCGACAACCACATCTCACACACCTTGTTCACTTCGATCAACAACGAAATGGATATTTGACCCCACCAGTCAACTTCACCTTACGGCCTTCATTACTTTTCCAAAAAACACTAAAAGTGTGTACAAAACTACATTGTACCAACAAAAAACAATTTCAAGTACGACACTGAATTGTCGAGGCACCATCACAGCTAAGAGAAGGAGGTTTAGTGAGCAGGAATGGAGAGAGCGAGGTGGTCAGGCCAGAAGAAAAAACTCATCATTTTTGTGTCCCACGATCCCTTCAGTCCATCGTCTTCAAACACCTTGCAATGGCAGCAGTAAATCAACACCAACAAATCCCAGCTACAATCCGCTTCGCGCGGCAGGCTCTGCGTTTGCGCTCGATTTACGCACCGCCAGCATTTGAACCTGCAAAGCCAAGGCAACAAGCATGCGTTAGGGAAAGTCTCATTCATTACGAAGGACAATAAAGGATAAACAGAATGACTGCTTTAAATCTACAAAAGGGAAGCATGATGTAGCGGAACTGTCTAAACTGACTAGAATAAACTGATTGAATTTCGCCTTTATTACATTTGAAGTAGAGCTTTGCTCGTGGCTACTTTTCCTCTGGCCTCGCTTACTTTTACCTGACTAAGCTAATCTCGTTGATTTTACCCTAACTTTCATTTGATCCAGGCAGTGTCTTGTGGCATATTACGATTATTCGTCAGTTAAATTGACTTGACCCATTTAGGCTCAACTAATGAAATTTCCTCTGCATTGCAAGCGAACTGGCTGATTGCTTCGTGATTAATTTACCTTTATCTTCGTCGTGTTGA